GCATCTCCTCGAATCACTGCAGCCCGGATCACTCCCTTCCGGTTCGCCAGAGCGACCGGCATTTGAACCGAAAAATGTGAAGTCTCAATGTCACCATTTCCAAACTTAAACTGATGAAGCTCCGACACGCGTTGAGGCACTATCCAACCTTGTTGTCGCCATAATTGCTCAAAGCTCAACAATGTTGTAGCACCAATGACTGTCCGTCCACAGCCTGAATCGATCACTCCGTACCCAGGAGACGAGACCAGCATGATTTCATCAGGGGTCGTCGCCATCACCGGGATGTCCTTGTCGGAGCGCGGGAAACGATTCCGCACCTGATCCAGCAATGTGGGGGTTGCCGTCACTGAGGCCACGAAGTCAATCTCCTCAACTGTAGCAGCGCCTGTAGGCGCAGAACTGGAAGCGCCATTACCCTTTTCAGCTGCTTTCCCAGAACCCTTGCGGGTGTCCTTAGCCCTGCATTCTCGGGCCCAATGACCTCGACGGCCGCAACGATTGCGTGTAGTGTGTCGCTTCATCTCCTCCACCTCAACTCTGAAGGCCCGTTTGACATCACGGGACTTCTGAAATTGCATTGTCTTCTGCAGGCGGTTCAACTCTTGTCGGCGCTCTTTCCATGAAGTGGCCAAAACTTCTGCCACCTCAGCTTCATTGAAACTCTCGGAATCCTGCGCCCAGTCCTGACTGGCCTGATGGTCTTCCAGCAGTTGCTCAACATCAGAGAACTCTTCTTCCCACTGTTCATGCGAATCGGCCAGCTCGTCAGGAACTTCTTCAGCAAGGGCCACGGCTGTTCGCCGTTTGCTGATCACCAATTCCGGGTAGCAAGATCGAAGGGCGGCCGCCACCGATTCTCGCTTCAGATCACCTCGAGCTCGGGCAATCGCCACCGCCTTCTGCTCCTCTGTCAACCCTCCACGATGGAGGAGCAACCATCCCCGGGCTTCATCGGGGAACTGTACTCCAGTCTTTCGATGACAGCGATCGAACAGTTCTGAGGCTCGTGCTGCCCATTGTTTCATGTTCTCTCCCTCCTGACCACGGAGGTTGAACACTTCTCCCAAGATCTCGCCAAGCTCGTCGACAACCTCCTGCTGTGGAAATCGTTTGTCCAGGAGGTCAAAGATCACCTTGTCACCATCCTTCTTCTGATACGCATCTGGTTCAAGGTGCTCAACAGCTTCCAGTGCCTTTCCAGATAGCAGAGTGTAAACATATGCTCCCCTTGCGGTCTCGGGGAGCTTGTCCAAAGTCAACAGCTTATTGCGGACCCAGGTCTTCCATCGCCTATACTCTCTCCCATCTTCGTTCTCTCCTGAGAACCCTTGGTTCGAAGCGGCTTCCCCAGCCGCCACCGAAGTCGACGTCATGTGTCACGGGTGTGGACCCTCGCCGGAGGGTCAAAATCCAAAACCAAGGATCAAAACATGGCTATGGAGCCCAGGACGGATTGGGTTTGCTATTAATTGCGGAGTCACGAACCCTCACCTAAGGGCTACAAGTGGGCTCTTCTTTCCACGGCCTGAGCATGAAGGTCCCTGTCGTGTCACGGGTGGACATCAAGATATATATACATGATATGCCACCACGAGACTAATCACTATGTCTCGCGACAGACCACCCGAGGTTGCGTAGCCAGTTTCGTGTCCAGTGGCTCTGCGCCCGAAAGGAGGATACGAGTGGCCGAGTTGGCCAAAAGAGCTGGTGGCCATTCGGCCGAGTGCGAACGGGGCCAGCGGCCACGGATCGTTTGGACCGAGAAGCTTTACAGTCAGGGCGTGGCTGGAATGGGACAGCGGCAGCTCAATCTATTTGAGCTTCACTGGAGGGAGCCTCGGAATCAGCTTTTTGATATGTGACGTCATGATCGAGCTGCTACTGCCTGGAACTTCTCTTTGGGCATTCCTCTTTGCTGCGTATGTTGCGCCAAAGCCAGGTTGATGCTTGAGAGGCCTGGTGTAAGTCATCGCCGTCACTTGAATGAACCGCTCTAATACGCTAGTCCGTCAAGAAGGTGCCAATAGTACGCCTGTCATCTGTCTCGCCTGTCGGAACAATTTTTGACCAGGGCAAATCAGCGTGGGGATTCACATCGAAATCTGAGCCGAAAGAGGAGCTGTGTCGCCAGGAAGAGAAAGCCAGCCGGGAACTTTTCGCAAAGCTGCGCGTCGTGCAAGCGGTTCTTAAACCAAATTTTTCGAGAGCAATGTGTAGGCCCCCTCATAGAGTGAGATGGCATGCCGTGGCCATACGTATCAGTTCATCCACCAAAGCGTCTGGCAATCGCAAAAAGACAAGGATGGTCTCAGTGTCTCAGTCTTGGAAGAGCCTTGTGTTGCATCTTGAAGCTATGAGTGTGAGTTGGAGGCCAAAAGTGCAGAGTGACACACGCACACACTCGAGATGATGCGTACGGAACTGAAAGCCCACACGGCGACCTAGGTAACCATAATCCTGAGAAAGTCATGTAATGGGGTCTGATCATCGTTAGTCATTAGGAGACCAAGAACGTTAAAATCCACGACGTGATGACGACCGTGCACATCTGCAGAATTCATTAGCCCTTTATGGAAGATTTGGGTATCGGCTTGGAGAACATCACAACAGAGCAGGTACTTCACGGTGATCAGCCGTGATATCCTAGTCAACTGCATGGAGCTTGGTTGGCGACAGCCATGCAGCGACTGTCGACCCCTGATAGTATGTGAAAAATCAGCGGATTCCCTGTGACTCCAAGGGTTTCACACACGGATCCCACAAGGGGAGGCGCAGAAAAGCTAAGGGTCAGACTTATGTGCATGTGAATGTACAAACGGATGAAGACAAGAGGACAAGACAGACCAGGTGTATGTGTTGCAATGAAATGAAGCCACTGACCCGGGACAACCGATGAACCAAACCTCCTTGTAACAACGTTGGGAAGAGTGCGCGGTTGGGAAGAGTGCACGTCGCAACACATACTGTAAGAGGTTTAGCGCGACGCTTGGGTAATTGAGCAAGTCTTAACTGACGTTTGCGCTAAGGCTCCCTTGTCCGCTACGGACTACTCTGGTCCCGGGCGCAGGGACGTGGACAGACCCTTGCTCAGCAGGGCCACGGGGAGCACTCTTTGGGCTCACCCCGGGCTGGCGCAAAGCCCGGACACATTCGAGATAATGCGTACGGAACTGAAAGCCATTTGCCGCACGGCGATTTGGGCCAAAAAAATCAAAATCCACGAGGCGTCGAAGCAGCGACAAGGCGAAGTCTCTTTGTCAGAACCTGGGCGACCTGAAACCTAGATGTACAGTAGATGTGCGCGTGCAGACTAAGGCCCGGACCAATGTGCGCGCAAGAGAGAGAGAGAGAGAGAGAGCAAGGAGTGAGATGACAGGACATGAAGCAAGGAAAGACATGAAAGAAAGGAAGAGAACAAGAAACGTGTGAAGGGGAAAAGGATGAAAAGGGAAACCAAATGAAGGGGACGGCGACCGATGAAACCAAACATCATTACAACAACCTAGGAAGACCTGCCTTGTTAAGATGTACATGCTGTGTGTGCACCTAAGCTTACGACGGCTCCATGAGCCTTGAACAAGCTTTGGTCGCTGCGACCACGTAAGCCTCCTGCTGTCCGCTTCGGACACCTACGTTCCCGGGCAGGGGTAACAACGACAAACCTCCGTTTGACGGGTCCACAAGGGCACTCTGCGGGCTCACCCTGGGCCAGCGTAAAGCCAGACACACTTGAGATTATGCGAGCTGATTTGGTTGCGGTTTGCCACACGCCGGCCTAAGTGAAAACCTAAGAAGCCAGGACAGGTGTAGATAAGGTGGTCTAAACATCGTCAAAGCCTGAAGGCCTCAACCAAAGTGACAACCGCATGACTGCCGAGTTCATAACCGATGCAATGGCTGGACGTTTTGTTCTAAGTACAGCCCAAAAGGAAATGAGTGGTGATCATCTTCGCGCAGGTACGTGCAATCTGCGTCCAAATTGCATATCACAGCAAACTTGAAGTGTCTTCGTTGAGCTGTGACTTCAAGAATGCCCACCGTTGCCCTGCAAATCTAATTAACATCAAATCAAAGAACAATCCAAGCGGAGCCCTGTGACTCCAAGGGCTACACACACACACCCACACACACACGCTTACACACTTGAGTCAGTCACTTGAAAAATGTCATGTACGCAAACTTCAGGGTGGTCTCAGAGATGGATTTACTCTGTAGGACCTAGTTACTGCGTTAGCCGGCTAGTGCAAGACGACCTGACACCACAAATGGCCCTGCAAAGAGAAAACCTGAAATAGTAAACTGTTTGCGTCACCGCGTCGATAAAGGCAGGTGCGTGACTTTGGCATCCCAAAGTCATATCACGACTCACTTCGTTCGGCAATGCGTTCCAAAGCGGCCATTGCCCCCCTGCTGGCTTGAAAACATATGCCGTTGCATTGAATAGAGTAAGGTCCCTGGAGACTGGTGGTGACGCACACACACTTGAGATATTGTGTACGGAACTGAATGCGGTGCCACACGCCGGCCTAGGGTTCCAATGCCTAAGGATACAGGTAAAAACAACCTAGAAGGAAGGAAAGGGCCAACCAGCGGAAGTCTCGAAGAGTTCAAAACTCAGAATCTTCCAAAAGCTCCAAGGTTCCAAATTGTAACCGCGAAACGATCGAGCGACAAGGACGACGGAACGTGCAGGAAAGTCTAGTTCATCGCTGCTGAAGGAAACAACGAAGTAGACAGCTTGTGCTCTACGTAGGTTTCTCTCCAAGCAGGTACGTCAATCCGGCGTCCCGGATTGATTTCACCAGCACACATCCAGTGTCTTCGTTGGTGCAAGACTGGATGGGCTGCTTGCACCCCCTGCTGTAAAAATGCAAAAGCATCCCTATGACTCCAAGGGTGACACACACACACACACTTTCACATGCTTGCACCATGAATTCAGTAGAAGAGGGCCAACCTGCTGTGACTATTTAGATATTTGATGTTTCTTTTGGAAGGCGGTCATCATTTGTGGAGTGAATCTGAGCCTTAGCCCCATGACCTACATCAGCTGCTGTGGTGCAGGCCGACTCTTTTGTGGTCTCCCTTGATTCCAATACATAGCACACGAGAAAACATTTGGACCCACTGAAGTTCAGTTGCCTGCTGCAACAAAACATCCACTGACAGTCAACAAAGAAGTTGTGTTCGAATCAAAGTACTCGTGCTGAACTTGACATGCAGGCATGCATTCCCATTTGGGCCGATGCTTTACCTACAACTTTTCTGCGGATGGCTACACTCGTGGTGAGGCCATTGGAGATAAATCAGTCAGAGGTTTCATTAAGTCTTCAGCTCCAGTGACAGGCAACTGCCTCCACAGCCCTGAAGATGAAACCATTTGAAAGGCCTGCACCTTGTGCGCTAGACAGTAATATGGTTTTGGATAACAGCCTTCAGCAATCCTTCTTTGCTTCGACGATCAGCTTGGACAGTGGACAGGGAGCAAGGCGACTACGGGGTCGTGGCAGGAAGCCAGGTTAATCAGGACAGTAGAGTCTTGATTCCAAATGGAGTGTTTGCTGATCACACTCTGTTGGCTCCAGGACGGACGAAGTGCATCCCTGACTGCTCCGAATGGACCAGCGCAGGAAAGATGCCTGCAGGCAAGCTAAGGGAAGAAACCGAAAGGCTCAACAAAGCCTGCTTGTGAACCGCGTCTGTGCCAGGCTGTCATCAAAGAGGTAGGCATGAAGCCTCCTGAAATGGACACTACTGAATGTCGGGGCCTGTGGAATTATGGACGAACAGATTTTGACCTTGAGCGCTCAAGAGTCAACGACATGTTCAGAGAGTCACATCTTCAGGTCACGGCACAGGGACATCTTTGGGCGATCCTATTGAGATTGGTGCCTACAAAAAGGCTTGGGTGTCACTGTCGCTGTCACTGTCACTTTGCCACTTGTGCCGTGTTTTGTTTTCCACAGGTGATGTCTATGGTGCCAAGGCGAGAGACGACGCATGCACGTCGGGCGATGCTTGCGATTGCACGAAGACAGGCATGAGCCGGTGGTCATCACATCGTCCAAATCCAACATTGGGCATTGTGAAGGCGCCTGACACTGGATTTGACACGTTCACAACAGAGCTTGACTGTTTGGGCGCTTGCTCTTCAGGCAGTGCCGGAGTCTCCGGATTCCTGAAGTGTGTTTTGCTTTGCTTGCCACGGGCTTATTCTTTGCCCAGAGACCACCGGCACGGAGGCACAAATGAGCTCTCCAAGCTCGCCTTGTTTTTTTTTGATTGATTTTGAGCACTCGTACGGTTCGTACGTACCTTGTAAGTTCAAGACAGTGAGGAGCTCTATCTTTTGTCGCTGAGGTACGGAGAAGGAACCCCGAATTGCCACTTGAATTGTTTGAATCCGCTGTGTCCTCAGCTACAAAACTATATCAACAACCATGCACGTGGACCGTAAATGCTCCCATGTGCATCCCTTGTCGCAGCGAGACATTTCTGCAAGACTGGCATGTGGTGTTGTCGCAATGTAGTGATGCGTGCACTGTTAGGCACTTGGACATGTCGGGCTTCCCGGGCATCCTGACCACGGAGAATGTCACCTTCAGGGCAGAGGCTCTGACGTGAATGGGAACTGTACTGTATATCTCCTTGGTCAGTGTGCTTGGGAAGAGCTGATTGGTTGGTCAGTTCTATCCCCCATGAAGGGGGTTGCTTTGAGATGAACCCGTTGTTGTGATTGAGACCAGGTAGCAATTAGAATCATGAGAACGAGAATGACAAGTCATTTGAAACGAGCAGATCGTCCACGAGCAAAACGCAACTGTGCAAAACGCCTCTGTCGGACTCCGTCGGACCTCCGTCGGTGTCTCCGGCTCAACGAAAGAGGCCAGTTTCAATGGAGTTTTGTCCTTTGGATTTGGTGGAACGAATGCTTGTTCCACCGTGTGGGCCACAGATAGGCGTCTCCCAGACGTGCTAGCAAGTTGGCTGGCGAGTAAGGTCTGGGGAGTCAACCAAATGACTTCCAGAGGAGTTGGAACCAACAAGGAGAGATTGGAGACTTCATGAAGTGCAGTCTTCAATGAGTGCTTAGAGATTGGAGTCTAGAGTCCAGAAAAAAAGACGCAAAGGTGACGTTACGCCCAGTCACTTCTTCCCATTTTGGTTCCAGCCAAGCCTTTGCCCTGGAAGGACCTCTACAGCCTCTTTATTCGAAAGATGCAAGATGCACCTCCGCAAGAAGTGACCATCGTTGGCGAAGATTGGGAGGAGCCCAGACCGTGTGTGTGAATTCTGAAGGCTTCCCAGCAGGTATCCTTAGAATTCTTTACCTTGTTTTGTGACACCCTCCAGGACTGGGAGATGGGTGGTCCAGACAAGGATGCGCGCTTCAATGACGTCTTTGAGGTGGGATTTGACATCACACGTGTTCTTGTTTGGTTCATCGGGTTGACTGCAGCTGGCTGCCCGGGAGGTGGAATTGGACCCTGATGGGGTCGTCAGCTACTGGAAGAAAGACAAGGAGGCGCTGCGAGGGTCATGTGACTTAATTAGCGATCGGCGATCTCACAATGATCTCACATTATTTTGCTGGAATGTTTGGCTTATATAGTTCTGGCTCGTGCAAAGAGCACACTGAACAATGTGGAGAGAAAGCTTTGCCTGGTTTCACCATTCCTCCGAACTCGGAGGTCATGTAGAATGTTGACTGTTTCCAAAAGACTGATAGCTTTGATCAGGTCCCAGATCTTGGTTCCGGACTCAGCGAATGGGCGATCTTGGGATCTCGTGTAACTGTTCATTTTTCCGCGAGGCAGTGCATATTTCCTGACCGGCACTTTCAACGACTGGAGATATGACGAGATGGAGGATGGTTCCTGAAGTGGCGGTACTCGTTTGAGTGAACACAACTTGCGACACAGGCCGACCCCAACGTACCTGGGTTGTACTTCTCGACCTTTCGCATTGCTGCGAACGTTGAAGAAGAGTCAAGGGCCCAGACTCAAGACTCAAGATCTACTGATCAACATATCATTGTGCCTTTTCGACTTTAAGACTCGTTGTTCTGTGACATACATATAATATGTAAACAAGTTTTTGTTTTTATATTTCTTTCATGGCATCAAGACTGTTGTTGCTAAGGTTCCAGGTCGTTGCTGGTCAAGATCCCAAAATGACCTTTCATCCGTCTAGCAGGAACTCGGTCGTACACATGCCGATGCTTGCCAAACCACTTTTCCCTTCTTCCAAATCGGCGAGGACTCCTCAAAAATCAGCTGCTGTTCGCGGGCCAGAAGAGACCAAGCGAGAGAATTGTTGGTGTGTGAGGGGTGCCAAGGGAGAGCGGTACGTCCGGCATGCCTTGCGACCTGGGCGGTGGCCGAACGTCGCCCCCCGTCTCCGAGCAACGGGTCTTTCTCGGTTTTTTGAAGAGTAGTCTTGTCAGTTTTTGTCGGTTGCGGGATTGCCAAAGTCTTGACACAGTTAGTGCTGATTTGTCCTAAATACTACGCTTGAACGCCCCTTAGATTGAGGCAACCATTTTTACACGGCTCTGTCTGTGAATCTTTCTGCCAGGTATCGAGTGGAGTTTTATAGATCTGAGACGGGCGCTGCTACTGTCTCATGGCTGAAAGAGCCTTGACATAGTTCTAGAAATGGCCAAGAACTTGTTAAAGCCCATTTTGCAACGGGCTTGCCGTTTCGTGGCCCTTAAGCTTTGTAGATCTTCCCGGAGCATAGTAGCATTTGCAAGCGTGCAAAGAGTGATCAAGACCCATGTTCAAAGCGAAGCACTCATGCACCACCACATGTTGATGTTGACGTACCAAGGGGGAGCAGCTTTGCATGCTTAGCCCCATGTCAGCATGCTGGAGATAAACGAGGAAAAGAGGTGTGTTGACAAGTAGACATAGGTAGACTCTTCTGCTGCTTGTTGGCTTTGCAATGCTCGGACGGCTCTTCATTTCTTGCCGATCCAGCTCAGTGGCCCCACTCAACACCAATGAAACAGTGGCCAGTTTCCTCGGAGCCCATTTTCGATTTGCAGCCAATCGCCAGGATCCTTCAGAAATTTCAGACAGTGGGATTGGTTGCAATGCGTTGACCTATTGCATTGCTTGATGTTACTTTGGCGGTTGGGGCAACGTCAAGCGGAAAGCACAACGGCTTCACTCTTGATGCCTGATGTCTGTAGATTTGGCGGTTGGGATTTGTCGAGTCATATTCCATCACTCATAACCTGCCCTTTACCCCACTCTAGAGTCTAGACTCTATACTCGAAAATGATTGAACATGCATCCCCTTCACGATATGCTACATCTAGGCTTTTCATGGTTTTCTCTTGAGGCTTCATACTTTGTACCAGTACAATCAACCTTGACACAAAACAACTCTTTGTCTTGCCGTGGATCACGGCGAATTTCAAGCATCCACGCAGACCTTGTCCCCCGGAGGAGGACCGGGTGGTGAGACAGAGAGGTAATCTGGAGAGGTTGGGAGATAGACGGAGAGATAGAAGAGCTTATTGTAGAAAAGAGTTGTTGGCACAATCAGTGTCCACAATTTGTTTGCACATCGGTTTCACGCATGGGCTACACGGACAACGCCGGTTACACCGACGACACGAGTTACACCAGCTACACTCTTTACCGATTACATTGGCCACACCAACTAATCACACTGGTTACACTGACGACAAAGGCTACACCGGCTACACTGACGCCGCCGCCGCACCGATGACGTCGGTCACAGCAGCGCAACCAACGTAACCAGCATACTCAGCGTAACCAGAATCACCAGCGCAGCCAGCGCAGCCGGCGTAATCAGCGCCGTAGTCAGCACAGCCAGTTCTGCCAGCGTGGCCGCCAGCGTGGCAGCGACTACCCCGGCAACGCCGACGAGATGACGCCGGCCACAGAACTGTGAACAGCGTAACCAGCGCAGCCAGCGTAATCAGTGTAGTCCGCGACCAGCGAATGGACAAGAGGCAGACACAGAGGCAAATACATAAACACTTGCCACTACTAGGAGTTGCATGAGTTGCGAGAAGGCGGACACACTAGCGGCCGAGACCCATGTAAGTTGCTGTTAAGGAGGATTGGGAGACGAATGAAACGAATTGGTATTGAGGAGTTGCCAGAAGGCGGACACATTGCCTCAGAGTGGGTGGGAAACACACGTGGAAGTTGTTAAGGAGTTGCTCGAAGTCGGAGAGGAATGGAAAGAATTGCTACTGAGAACTTGCCAGAAGTCGAACACACCACCAGCCCGGAGTGGGAGACACATGTGTAGAATCGGACACACTAGCGCAGACTGGGACAGAGAATTGCTACAAACAATTGCTACTAAGGAGGTGCCAGAACGCGGACACACTAACCCAGACTGAGGGGGACACGCAAATTCATGGAGAACACCAGCAGTGAACGTTTGGAGAGACAAACGCGAAACGTTGCGAAAAAAGGTGGGCGCAATAGCGCAGACTGGGAGACGAACGGAAAGGAGTCGCTAGAAGTGTAAAGAATGGCTAATCAGGAGTTGCCAGGAGGCTACATTGGGGGACAGGAGTTGCCAGCAGAGTTGCCAGAAGGCGGACGCAATAGACACAGGTGCCTTTGCGATGTGGGCGCTGCTTCTCCTCGTCGTGGTGTGGCCATTCATGCGGGGCGAGATTGGGCGAGGAGGTGGGTGACTTTGACGTGAAGGGTGCGCGGGAAGGAATGCCACTTGGAAAGGTGGTGAGTACAGGGAGGATAAGAGTGCCATTGACATTTGGGACGTCCAATCAATTTGGAAGTGGAAGTCTGTTGAAGTCGAAACCCAACGGCGGGTAAGGAGAAGACTGCGATTACCAATGACACCCTGCCAAGTCAAGTAGTACATCAAGCACTTGGGACCACTGCGATTACCAATGACACCCTACCACGTCGAGGACGATTCGCGGGCAAGCCCGGGCAAGGATACCGTCCAGACACGCCTGGCCGAATCAGCATCCACGGAGATTCCAATCCCGTTGCGTGAGTTTACCTGTCCACTGTGCCTTGAAGTGATTGGGAGGAAGGCCCTGTCTACCCACCTCCGCCTGACACATCAGATGGACAAACCAGATTCGTTCTCTTTCAGGCCAGGCCGGGACATGACGCCGGGTCACATTTGCTGCATTTACTGTCGAGCATAATTTACCATGCCATTTGCATTGCAAAACCATTTTAGCAGGGGAACGTGTCCTCAATTGGTCATCCAATGGGTCCGAGACCAATACTTCGGCCCGACTGCACCAGCGCAGTCTGACCCACCCCCACCGAAGCCGCGACGGACCTCAGATCCGTCCACCATGGTCTTGGGCATCAAGACAGCCGGACTTGCCCCTGATTGCACGGACTTGATCCATACATACCCCACGCCATTGATGCAGACCATTGCATTCGTCCCTGAAGCCCGCCTTTACTGGTATGCGCAGATTGCACTGTGGACTTGCCACGTCCACAGCCTGCTTCAGGTATTGATGAAACCAGACAAGATCTTCACCGCAGTGAGTTGGATCACTGCCCCCACGTGCCCTGCAGCCAAAAGCGAAATCATGAAGGGAGACAAGCTTGGGAGACAAGGCGGCAGCGGCAGCCAAAAGCGAAATCATGAAGGGAGACAGGCTTGGGAGACAAGGCAGCAGCGGCAGTCAAGAGCGAAATCATGAACAAGCTTGAAAGACAAGCCGGCAGAGGCAGCCAAGAGCGAAATCATGAAGGGAGACAAGTTTCACAGACAAGGCGGCAGCGGCAGCCAAAAGCGAAATCGTGAAGGGAGACAAACTTCACAGACAAGGCGGCAGCGGCAGCCAAGAGCGAAATCACGAAGGGAAACAAGCTTCACAGACAAGGCAGCAACGGCAGCCAAAAGCGAAATCATGAAGGGAGACAAGCTTCATAGACAAGGCGGCAGCGGCAGAAGAGCGAAATCATGACGGGAGCTTGGGAAACAAGGCGACAGGGCAGCCAAGAGCGAAATCATGAAGGGAAACAAGGCGGCGGCAGCGGCAACGGAAGCTACGTGTAGTTTTGCTAGCGGGGGAATTTCTATTCTTTTTTTTGCTTACTTTAACGATTATTGATTTTAACCTTTTATGGCTTATATTATTTTTATTTAAAATAATGGACGGAATGAATAAACCAATGAAATATTTATTTGGAATTGAAATTTAGGATTATTCTATTATAGATATTATTTATGAATTAAATATTTTTATTGGAATGAAATTTTTAGGATATTAATATATTTTTGAAGAATTTATTTTATCGATAACTAAAGGATTTTTAAATATTTTTATGATTTTTTTAATTAAAATTTTATATAAATATATATTATTAATATATTTATTTTAATTTTAAGGAATTTTAATTAAATTATATTATTTATTATTGAATATTTTAATATTTATATTTATTATTGAAATTGAAGGTATTGAGATTTTTGGGGTATTAAGGTGATATTGATGTTGAGGATAGTGTATTTGAAGTTGTTGAAATTTTGTGGTTTTGAAATTGGTATATATTAAGGGTGGAAAGTAATATTAAAATTTATGATGTTGGATTTGTAGCGTAAGATTTAAATTGTAAAGGTTGATGGGGAATTTTTTGAGTTAAATTTTTTTGATGAATTATATGGATATGGATATTTAATTTATAAATTATTGAAATTTAGTGTTGTAATTTTTGGCATTATGATTAAGGTCTTGGAATATAATTGGATTCGATTTTTAATGGTCTTATAAGAAGCGGATCGTAATTTTGGTCGCTTTATAATAAGGATAGTAATGATATATTATTTTGATTTTACTTGACGAAATGAAGCAAACATTTCTTACGCTTAATTTGCTTAAGTAGGCCAATTATATTGCACTAATTGTTTTTGAATTGGTTCGGGTTGAAGAAGATCCGATTGAGGGGTTAGCTTAATTTTACGTTATTGATTTAATTGTTGACGGAAGATACTATGATTTCCACATTGCTGTTGTTGCCATTGAATATAATATTGAGGGTATTTCATTATTTCGGAATTTTGATGAATTGATTAAACACATATTAATATTAAAAAATATTAAAAATCGATTAATATATATATATATGTACTTATATGCTATCTTCTTCCAATATCCATTCTTTGCCTTGAGAATGATAGATCGTTAATGATGGATTGGAGATGTTATATGATGGATTATAGATGCTTTTGTGGAATGGTTGAGTTGCAATGAATGAAAATTAGGTTTGCTATTTTCTAATGACATTAATTGATCTACAAATTGATAGCTTGTGGCAGTGGAATATAATAGATCTTTTTCAGCAGTATCTTGGCAAAATCTCGTTTGAGAAGCTACTTTTTGAATAGATATTGAGACATTTGTTTTTTTGACTAAATCTTTAATATGAAGGCAAAGATCGCGGAGCCAGTGCTTATACTGAGTGGATTGAATTTGGGCTCGGATAGCTTTACTTCCCGCCTTTACGTGTTGATTGCGGCGGATTCGTTCTATGAGGTAGTAATGGGTAATAAATGAAGGCGATAATGATGATGATTAATGATGATTATATTGGCTTTGGATGATTAGAAGTTTAGTTTATTTGTTTAAATTTAGAGTTAAGAATTTATTTGCTTGATTTATTAATATTGAAGAAATATGTATTTTTATATAAATTAGTCCGATTTTTTTTTTTAAATCTATTTTTTGAATGGAATTGATTTTTTTTTCGGATGTTTTATTTATTTAAATTATGAATTTTAAAT